TTCTAATTTCTATCGCGATATAGCGTCGCCACCGTCAACGCGGAGTTCGTGGCTGACTGGAAAGGGCCCTTAAGTACATATCTCAATTATGAAGCTTGAAAGAATGACCCCAAAAATAGCCTGTATTCTCGCTCTCGATTCCGGACTTTATTTTGGTAATAAATGATAATAAACCATGAGGCACTAATCTTTTGAAACTTTCAAATTAAGCCTACTCTTTGTTGCCAAGTTATGAAGCCTCAAAGTTATCATTTTATACCGTGTTTCTCAAAACGGATCTTTGCATGCGAATAGCTTTTAGGCAAAGCATTTTGGAGAAAAATGTTTCAGACAAAAGTTGTAGGATGTGAAAGAGTACAAGAAAATGATGACCTTCACTGTAACCTTGAAAACACTTTTCCAAACTTTTCCAAGGTCATTTGGAAATCAACTTTTGATTTTTAAATGAGAACTTTTATATAAAGTAACGCTTGGAAGTGAAATGATGATTAGAAAGTACTTTTTTGGACCGAAGATTAAATAATAGAGGTGGCTTTGGGATCAAAGTAGGTTTTATTACTTTTCTTGTTGTTTATTTCTACAATAAGAAAGAGTTTCTACTATTCTGTTTGCTTGTAAATAATTTTTAGAAAAAGCATTTCGGATAAAAATGTTTTAAATAAAAATTGTAGGGCTTGTAAGGTAAACAAGGCCATGTAAGGATAAATAGAAGGCCTTTATTTAGACTTTGAAGACATTTCTAAAGTTTATCTCAAGATCAACTTCAGCTTTTCCAGTGGAAAAGCTGAAGCACTTCAGAGTTTCCAATGGAAGCTTTTTCTTATTGTAGAAATAAACAACAAGAAAAGTAATGAAACCAACTTTGACCCCAAAGCCACCTTTATTATTCAACCCGCAATCCAAAAAAGTATTTTCTCATAATCATTTCACTTCCAAGCGTTACTTTATATAAAAGTTCTTATTTAAAAATCAAAAGTTGACCTCCAAATGACCTTTAGGAGTGTCTTCGAGGTCACAGTGAAGGTCATTATTTTATGTACCCTTTCACAGCCTACAACTTTTCTGAAACACTTTTATCCAAAATGCTTTGCCTAAAAGCTATTCGTATGCAAAGATCCATTTTGAGAAATACGACATAAAATGATAATTTTGAGGTTTCATAACTTGGCAACAAAGAGTAGGATCAATTTGAAAGTTTCAGAGGATTAAGGGCCCTTCCTAGTCAGCCACGAACTCCGCGTTGATGCTATATCGCGGTAGAAATTAGAAGCTTCTTGTCGTATATTAGGCCCGTTCTATGATACGTCGAATATATCGGTGTTTTAAGTCATAAACCGTGATAATTCTATAGAATAATTGTATGCCGATATCGTATAATTGATGTAAAATTGATGTTGCGTAGAATAAAAGTGAAAGTCCTGTACGCGACGCCAACAAAAGAATCTAGTCGGATGAATCACCCGCGTCGTACACCCAAACGGAAAACTATGCATTCGTTATCGGAGGTCCGGCACGGCCTCTCAGACAAATAAATATATCGCAGACATCTGGCAGCAATAAAACTTTCACTTTACAAAAACACGCATACGAACAAGACCCCGTCGCCGCCACCGGGACGCCGTCGTCGTCACACCGTAACGATCCCATTGGTGACGAAATAACACCCCTTCGAGTGACGTGCTCGATAGCCAACCGGTACATCGAGAGACGTTGCAATGAGATAACGCGTCAGCAACCGGGATGCAACGCGGAGAAAACGCTATATACTATATGATGAGCCTTCGGAAGCGCTCAATCAATCGTTTTCGACCTCCGATCCGAGTAGACACGCGTGCCGACTTCTCTCGATAGACATTCGCGAGTACTATTCTTCCTTCGAGACCGAGCTCTCCGAGAAGAGTGCCGCGAGTTGTGAACGCTGTGTCGACGCATCGAACGTTCCATCTGCTCGGCGTAGTACGAATTTAAGACATCGACCGTGCGATAAGACATTTCGCGACTCGCGGATCGTTCCAGAACGGGCCGCGAATCCACGTCACGACTTCGAAGTGACGCTACTTGCGACGCAGATATACGTGCAGCGGACGCAGCCGGCGTGGCGAGTTCCGGTCTAGCGTGCCGCACGCACAGTAGGAGGCCGACCCCCCCTGGCAAGGAAGCCGAGTCTTCACGCCACCGGAGGACGAGTCCTCGAAATCAAGGCCGAGTCCTCGCTGATTGCGACCGAGTCCTCACCGAACGAGGCCGAGTCCTCGACAACAGAGAATGCGACCCTTACCTGCCGCACCACCGAGGCCGAGCCCTCGACAACGCAGATTGCGACCCGGACTGACCGCGCCACTCGTTGACAGAGTGCTGTATAATTAATGTGGTGGACTCAGTTACGTACATTAAATTGCATAATATCTTTATAACATGTGGAACAGTGAATAAAACCCGAAGTGTTTTTCATACGAAATGAGTGTATGGACTTAATACTCCCTACACACGATCCTTCGACGATCCAATTGATCAATCACAGTCGAATATGAAGAGAATACTCGACAATTGAAGAAAATAACGGATCTACTGTGAAAAGTGTTGACAACAAATTTTGTGTGCCATTTTGTTATTATGCGCTTAATTGTGAAAATGTGACTTGTCTCGTATTTATCAAAGTCGTAAAAATGGATGGAAACTATAGTTATTGTCGAATTTTATACGTAAAAGTATCTTTTCCGTTCCTTTCAACAGCTATCAAATCGTGAGTTTTCTTGCTTGAATAAGCTTCACTTTACGTGCCTTTTACGACTGTTTACTGGGGGGAAAAGGATAGTTTCCATCCATTTTTACAAGTTTCCTAAAGCAATCCTATTTATTAATTTTATCCGAATCCTCTTTATTTAAAAATAGTACGCAACAAACTTTTATGTGTCATTTCCATATATAGACTTATAAGATAGACTGCGCGCCCTATTGTTCTCGGTGAGGCAGAAGCTAGAGTGAGAGGGCTACACTCCACATTTCTCTTGTCCTTGTTCAATCGTTGGTGGGGAGAAGAAAAGGGGGGAGACCCGCGCCGCGCCGGCCGTCGTCAGCCGTGCCGACTCGGGAAACGAAAGAATATAGACTTATAAAACTTAACAAAACTGCTGTTTAATATTTTGCTATTCTGATACTATTTTCACAGTCACACACCAAGCAAGGTTCGCTGCTTCACACTAGTTCACTGTGGTTCACTGATTCTTTCGTTTCCTGAGTCGGCACGGCTGACGGCGGCCGGCGCGGCGCGGGTCTCCCCTCTTTTCTTTTCCCCACCAACGATTGAACAAGGACAAGAGAAGTGTGGAGTGTAGCCCTCTCACTCTAGCTTCTGCTTCACCGAGAACAATAGGGCGCGCAGTTTATCTTATAAGTCTATGTTTCCATAGAACTTATAATACATGGAAGGGGACTGCCCATAAGTTGAACAAAGAGATCCACGTCTGATATATCTCTCCCTCTTGCAAAGTTGATTTTCGCAATTACGCATGCGCGGCTTGCGTGCGCACCTTTTTAGTTCTGTAGCGGGAAACGACGCGCTTGCGCATTTTCAAAAATCAACTGAGTGAGAGAGAGGGGTATAGATTCTCTTTCTCACTTCCATTTGACATTATTTGATTCCCCATTCCCCTTCCATGTACTGTAAGTTCTATGGTCATTTCTCGCTGTTTCTCGCTTCTGACGTCACGAGTCCAATATGGCCGCGGTGACTAGGAAGGGCCTTTAATATCTCATGGTTTATTATCACCTTTAATTATCAAAATGAAGTCCGGAATCTAGGGCAAGAATACAGGCCATTTTTGGCCTATTTTTAGGGTAATTCTTTACAATTGCGCCGATATTAACATTATCCCAGATATCTGAACAACGACTAAAATCTCTTAAATGTTGTTCAGGGTCATGATCTTGATAGCGTACGTTAACATTAAGGCCATTTAAGATTCCTGTTATTTTTATTTTTGAAAAAAGAGAGACAATTCCCAATGACTTTGACGTGTGTTGTCAAGCTCAAGATCTTGAACAAAACATTCAAAAGGTTTTATTAGCTGTTGCTCGCACCTGAGATGATATTAATTCCGGCGGAATCAAAACTTTCAGGCCTCATAAGTCAAAATACATTTAATGAAAAAAATACTTTATTATAGTAAGTATCAGGAGACCGTGGAATGTTAACTAACAATTGAAAACTTGAAACGTCAACACGGTACAAAGCGGATCTTGGTGCTTCCATATAATTTTTAGTGTGAATCTTACAATTTTCGATTTATATAACACGTGACCGCAAATCGCGTGCTTCTCCATAGCTCCAAACCGAGTATAAGTATGTAATATCACAATTGTTTGCCGAAGGCAATCTAATAAATTGATGAGAGGCATGCAAATGGATGCTCAAAGCATCCATTTAAATCCTACTTAATGCTCACTTGCATCTAATGAATTCCCCCTCTCTCGCGACGTCAAATAAATGCTAACTTTATTATAGTATTTTAGAAAGTTTTTGAAATAAACTACAAGAATATGTAACAAAAATGGAGGATTTTATTTTAAAAATTCAATTTGATCATTGTACGACCTTGCAGATTTCACCCCAACTCCTACTATCACCATTAGGTACATTTTTTAAAATTATCCTTTAACTTTGCCACTTACGTATTTTTAATTTGCTACAGTTGATCATTTTCGAGATATTTTAGCGTTTCCGGACTTTTCGAGAATCACGCATAGCTATATGTATAGTGTTATATTTATAATATCAAAAATTTATTATAAGTAATAATTATGAATATTTATATTTACTTTTATATCATATTTTATTTATATTATTTATAATTTCAAATAGATATTACTTAATAATAGTTAATAATAATAACATCTCCTTGAAATTCCTTTACATTGATATTGCTTATATTAATCTTTTAATGTTATAATACTATTTATTATATATTTTTTTACATAGTCCTATATTATAATTATTTCAGAATCTATATGGACTCGAATAAGGAAAATGACTGCACCAACATTTAATTCACACATGATGCAAAATTTCTTTAATACGTTTGCTAAACAATCCGTAATACTTACAGATGAATTAGAAACAGTTGGATTAAATGGAAATGAAATTATCCATGTACATTATATAGAAAATTGTACTTGGAAAATTGCATGTGGTAAAACAACATAATTTAAAAAGTATCAGACTTGCTCATATAATTAATAATTAAACAAAGTAATTATCAATAGAAGAACTAGTGAGGCTTGCACGGAGTTAGTGCTGTGATATCAAGTATATTTAGAATAAAAATTAGCACCCAAACGTTTTGGCTCTGCCTCAGTGGGTAAAAAATACAAAATTTCTTATTCATTACATTAAAAGTCGCTTGTTAGCTATAAGGTCACTTGTAGTAAAAATCGTATGTATCGTAATGTAGTAAAAATATTTTTACCCCCTCCTAAACACTCATTCCCTTCCCCTTTCAGAGATGGGGAGCGTTTGCTATCTTTTCTCATTTCATGTTGTTCACCTGCCTGATTAACGTTCCGCATGACATCTCATTTTTATACACTAACTTAAGGTACTGTTCTTACACTCGTTGTCGTCCTGTAACTCTTGGTTAATTATGTGATTGTGAAGGGATTCTCTATTATTTTAGACATGTATATTGAATTACTCTGACTCGATCCAATAAATTCAGGGCTGTTTGTAAGTTTTTTATGATAAGATTGAAACCTATTCTTATATATGGAAACAGGGACAAAAAACTCACCAATGTACCGGATCACATTACACTACGATCTTTCATCGAGAGATCTCACCGCGAGCGATTTTTACTACAAGCGACCTTATAGCTAACGAGCGACTTTTAATGTAATGTATTAAGAAATTTTGTATTTTTCACCCACTGAGGCGGAACCAAAACGTTTAGGTGCTAATTTTTATTGTAAATATACTTGATATCACAGCACTAATTCCGTGCAAGGCTCACTAGCCCTTCATTTGATACTTTGTTTAATATAATTTAACATATTTGTAAAATATTATTAATTATAAATATTTAAATATGAAACTATTTCAAGATTAAAAGTTTTTGATAATACAAAGTTTTCTTATATATTATGTGTTTATCTAAAGATAAAATTACTAAAAATTCTTAGTACAAATAATCCAATCTATACATACTTTTTAGAGATTAACTTCTAAGACATTTTAATAATAAAATTTAAAAAATATGTTAATATTTAAGTTGTCAATAATTATTTTCTTTTATATATGATAACGTGCACATGATAACGGGAGACACTTTTTATTTTTAAAACTGTACTTATTAATATGTATGTTACTTATTAATAATTTAAAATTCAATGTTTTGTTTTAATAATCATTCATTCAATAATTGATTGCACATTAATATTTTGAATAATAAATTTTCTTTTTACATGTTATGTAAAGATTCTCTAATGGGTGTTCTATTGGAACCAAATAAAAACGTTCAAGCTGTAAACGCACTGCAGAAGTATGTAATATTTTTTTTCTAATTTTAAATACTCTTGTATGTAAATTGCCTCACACTTGTGATGTAAATCATGTATTTATTAATAGGAATAAATCGAAAAATATTTGAGAACAAAATTTTTATAAATCACCTTTTTAATAAATTATGCTGCATCAAGAAAATTTTTGTTTATTT